TCTGTGAAGTCCACGCACATTCTCCACTTACCGTTCTTCTTTTTCACCATGACTATATTGGCGACCCACTGAGGGTACTTCGATTCTCTGATAGAACCATTCACCAACAATTTCTCGACCTCTTCACGAACTGCATTGTTTATTGTAGAGTTGGACTTTCGTCTAATTGCCTTACTAGTGGGTAAAATGGGTTGATGTTCAATTTGTGAGTTGCTAACTCCTTTGGGATACTTGGCATGTCTGCATGGGAAAAGGCAAATATGTCTACGTTACTTTTAAGAATTGATGAAATTTACCTGGATCTTGGAGTTTATGGCAGATGAAAACTCTCTTTCTATAGTGGTCGTTGTCTAGTTGGACGGGGTTGAGGTCCTCTACAGTTGACCTCGTGGCTTCTATAATTCCAGGGTCGCTGATGACATCTTTCTTTTCATCGCCATCCAACCTTGACTTCGTTAATTGATATGCTTCCTTGGCTTTTCCCTTCAGTTGTTGAGTGTACGTGCAGTCTTGGGCAATGCAGTAGCATTCTCGGGCCATGTTTTGCTCTCCCTAGATGCAGAATACTCCCCATAGGGTGGGAAATTTAATGATTTGGTACAAACTGAAGGGGGCGACTTTCTTTGCGTGTATCCATGGTCGGGCTATGATGGTGTTATATGTTGTATCCTGGTCCATGATGTGGAACGTGGTCTCCAAGGTAACACCGCCGATAAGGACGGGCAGTGTGATTTCTCCAGATGTCCACTCAAATGCATTATTAAAACCTGTTAGTGTGATGCAACATGGCACTATCTTGTCCTCGAGCTTCATTTGGGTGAGAACTCGAGGATGGATGATGCACACGCCGCTTCCATCATCGACCATGATACATCTTACATCAGTATAAAAAATACGTAAAGTTATGACAAGGGTATCATAGTGAGGAAAAACCAAATTGTGGGTATCAGACTTATCAAAGATGATACTTTCTTTGAGTTCGTTATACCGTTCATGGGTGATAGACCGCTTAAGCTTGTGAGTGGTGGTGAACTTCACGCTGTTGATAGATGCGTCGTTGCCTCCCCCGATGATCATTTGAATGGTCCAAACTGGGGAAGGTGGTTTGGGCGAACCCTGATGTTATTCTTGCCCTCGGGCAATGTTGGCCCTCCCTCGATCCCTCATCAACTCTTTTAGGTGCCCTTGGTGAAGCATGTTCACGACCTCCTGTCTAAGGGCGATGCAGTCCTCGGTCTTATGACCTTGTTCCTAGTGGAATTTGCATATGGCGCTTGACTTTCTGGTGCTTGGGTCGGACTTCATCTTCTGTGGCCATTTTACCTTTGGACCGAGATTTTCCAATGCGTAGACTATTTCTGAGGGGGAAACATAAAAATTTTGAGCTGATAATAAGGAGGTCATACCTCTTTCATTTCCGTGGATTCATGTTCGCAGCCTAGATGGACCTTCGTCGTGACGTGGAGGCGGCATGAGGGTGACTCTAACGTAAGGATGATGTCTTTCTCGATTATGTCATGACCCTGCTATATCTCTTCTGCTTTTGTTTCTTCGGTCTTTCCTAGACTCCATCTGGACCGAGATCAGATGTTGAGTAGGTATGTTGAGATCATCCTCGTCGGCTCTTACCTCAGCATAGTAGGCGTTGTGTATCTCGTCCCAAGTGGTTGAAGAGCATTCATGAGTCAGCTTAGCAACTTTTTGGTCGCCCGAGACCCACTTCTACTCAGCCCATTCTGGAAAGCGGCCACCACCATTCCTTCAGATACATTTGGAAAGGTCATTCTTACACAGTTGAACCGGGCGAGGAAGTCTCGGAGTCCTTCGCCATGTGATTTCTTAATGGAGAATATGTCGTTCACCCTTGCCTCCACTTTTTTGGCCCCGGCATGGGCGGTGACGAACTTGTCGGTCATCTCCTCGAACGTTTCTATGGAGCGCAGGTAACTGCGAGTACGAAGTTAGGGCCCAGCCTGTTAGGGTCTCTCCAAATGTTTTCAGAAATATGGATGCTACTTGTTCTTTTGCGAGGTTGTTGCCTTTCACTGCAGTGACATAGTAGGTCACATGGTCCTCCGGGTCTGTTGTGCCGTCGTATATTTTCATGTATGGAGACATTTTGGAAGTTTTTTGTATAGCATGTGGTGCGGCTTCGTCGCTATATGGTTGTTCCACAAATCGACCGGCGTCCCGCTTTGGTAGGAGTTTTGGGGCGTCTGATATCTTATCTACCCTTTCTTGATGCTATCTCATTTGGTCGCGGAGTGTTTTGTTCTCATTCTCTATCTCCTCCATTTTTCTAAGGATGGGAGTGAGGGTGTCGTTACCTCCATCATTAACAGAGTGAGTGATACCTGTAGAGGGAGGCTGGGCGTGTTGCTCATTGGTTGTGGCGATGTCTACTCACACACTCTCTCTGCTCACCCTTTGAGTGGGTTTGTCGAGTATACCGTTAGTGTATTCGTTATCCATGCTTCCAGTAGTTTTTTATCGCTGGTGATGTTTCTTCCATCGTAGACATAAAAGCTCCCTTTCCATGAGAAGCGGTAATGCTGCCATGAGGAGGGGGTGAATCGCTTCGCCTAGGTGAGGCACTTGGTGTCACGTTCTCCTCGTCCTCTTCGCGAGATGGTGTTTAAGAGATTGGCGGTTAGACCGGCTATCGCCTTTCTTTTTTCTTCTCAATTTCCTGCCATGTCAGATTTGTGCAAACAACGAGATACGAGGTTTTGCAAAGTTTGGTGCATTTGCATTTTTTTTAGATCTAGAAGAAACTAAAAAATTTAACTAGAAAATCCCCACAGACGGCACCAAATTGTTTGACCAAAAAGTGTTATGCCTTTTTGTTAAACTAATTAAATAAATGATAATGGGTGAATTCTAGATAAATATAATAAATCCTAGATCCAAGATTTATGGATAGTAATGGTCTGGAAGCCGCATTCAAAGCTATTAAATGCCAAAAAAATATTTAATGATATTGTTATGGATGAATGAGGGGATAAAGATAAGCAAATATGACAAATGACAATAGTTGTAAGTAGAGAGAATAATTCACCCAAATGTATAACGAGGTGGATTATTCTCCCTCTAATAATAATGTAACGCAATCGAACGTAGGAATAGATATCATACACTTTATCGGATTTGATGTGGGAAAGCTTGAAAAAACAACAAATCAAATCTTGTACAAAGATAATGTTTGTAGTTGCTTGAGAGTTAACTTTTCTAGAGAGAGCTTATCAAAATGAATATCACATGCCCCCTCTCTCTCTCTCTTCCTACTTATATAGGATATATCACTTACCTACTGAAAGTACAAATACAGAGAATATTCCTTTAAAATATCTTATTGCTAAACTAGCTGTTATTCCTACACTTCGCTGCTCGATCTCGGCCTTTATGACTTGCTCAGTGACTACTCATTGTTGGGCTTTGGTCGACCTCGGCCTATCCGCAAAAAGCGAAACACAGTCCTCTCACTTGATGATCTTCCCACGCCTAACTTTCTAAGCCAGATTTTGACCCATACAGTATGTTATTATATTATTTATATTAATTTACTAAGAAATTTTTATCCAAATCTGAGTATTAGATTACTATTTAAGTTATATACAATATCAATATAAAAATTAATAATTATGTTTATTAACAAGGGAATTTGGATTAGAAATTTCTCCCTCCAAATTCAAATTTATATTTTATGCATCACCGTTAATAGAATATGATGCTTTATATCCTATCGAGAAATGACCTTCTATAGCCAGTTCAAGTTGAATAAAGAAAATAAATTTATAAAAAACTCATATATTATATTTTCTCGATGTATCGTAAAACTAATCATATAAGACCAAGTTCCCCGATAATACCAATTTTATACATTTCTTTTCAAGATATATGTTATATGTGTACACTGTAATTTAGAAAGCTTGTAATGGCACACTGTAAAAAGTGGGGTGATATGTGAGGCAATATTCTACCGTCAAGTCCACGTAACGAAGATCATGTTCTTTTCAACATATGCCTGAAACGAATAAATTTCGTTTCTGAAAAATAATAACCAAAACAAGAAATATAACTACAAATATTATATTCGATTTCAAGTGATGGGGTTACAATCTTTAAAATATCTCAAATCTAAAGAGATGTGGATGGAGATCTCGATGCTATTCTTCAGAGCTTCTTTAGTCTTTCATGATGCTTACTTGCTTGTTCTTTTAACCTTCTCCTTTGAACCCTTTATATAGGTATGAGATGGAGTAGGCTCCAAGAAAACCCTAGTAGATCATTGGGCTTGAGTAGGCCGACTCATTTGATAGAAGACCAATTGACGGGCTAGCCCAATAATATATTGGACTTTTATTTAAATCAATTTATTTTAGATTTAAATAATCAACCCGATTATACTAGCCCATAGTATTATTTGGACTAATATGTATTTAATATATGATAAAAATCTAAATTACTTGTGGATTTGAATTTAATAAAATTTTAATTGTCTACAAATGCCCCCTGCTTCAAGGCTTGTCGAGGTGTAGACTTGACGAAACTTGAAGATGAGACTTGAAGTACCAAAGAAAACGTTATTTTTTCTTTATTTTAGCCCACTTAAGAGCTAATTGTAGTTAACTAGTCAAACACAATCCTAAATTTTAGTGTTTAGAACTAGCCAAATATGCCTCCAATTTGACGTCTTGGAAACTCTTGATTTGCTTCTATCTTGAATATCATCTTTGATAGTAGAGCTTTCCTTATTTGAGATGATCAATTACGAGAATCAAAGGTTTTACTAATACTGTTTTCCTTTTTTATGAATTCTTTCTTGGAGCGCAAACGGTACGATTTTATAATTCCATATTAAACATGGCAATTTCGTTTTCTTATAAGTAAATTTCTTTGTGCCAGAGGAAAAGCACCACCAGCTTATTGTCTATATAAGAACCTTGTTGTGTGTCTTTGTTTTCACCCGTGAAACTGATCAACTCATCTCCACAATTTTTACTTCTTCTTTTTCCTTCTTTTTTTTAATCGGTAGTCACGTTTCTTTTCCTTGGTTGCAGAAGCTGCCTGGAGTTATTATCTTTGTGCATCTGCGAGAAAACATTCATATCTTGCCATAGGAGCATCAAAAATGCGAGCCACTCGATTCTCCTAAAACATGACACAAAGAACTGAAACATATCCAAGAATTGGAGCAAAAATCCTTCTGCACCATCTCAGGTAATGTTTTGAGTTTTCTTTTCAAGTGCTACCATGTTTGACCTTTCATATTGGCGCGCCTTTACAAAAAGGTTCATAACCTGGTGTAGGAGCGTACGAATTGCAGTCCGCTTGATTTTCTTTACACTAAACATGGAGCGCTACAACATATTAAAAATTTGAAGCCAAATTCGTTCTGAACTATCTCAGGAGTATTTCTAAACTTGCTTCAGATTCTGCCGTACTCAACTTTTCAACTTTGCGCGCCTTCACTGAAAGATTCATATCTTGGTGCAGGAATATCGTAATCACGAGCGGTTTGAAGCTATAAAAACTAGAATCCCTGAACTTCAATTTCTGTAAAGATCACAATCAAATTGCTCTTATATCGTTCCAGATACTATTCAAAATTTACACGACGAGTTCCGATATGCCGGCTCTTTCAGCTTTGTGCACTCTCACTGAAAAAGTCATATATCGAGGTAGGAGGGTACAAATCATGAGCCGTTTGCACCGTTGAAAAGAAGAACAAGAGAGATGCAACATACATAAAAGTCGAAGCCCTACCCTTTTTGATCCAGCCACAATAATTTTTTTTATCAAGCACCAAAATCAGGAGGATTATTTTTTTGGACAGCATACTTTTTTTGCAGGTTTGGCAAGGTAAAGCTTAGGGCATCCTCATCTTCGTGGAATTGGAGGACGAAAATTTGATGCATCCACCTTTTCGGCCATGGCTTTGGCGGACAACAGTTTGGTGCATCCACCTTTCCAGTCAAACTTTGACAAAAATACAATCACTCGAGTATGTTTGGCTTTCACCGTCATGATTATGACTCGCTTTCCTTCCCTGACTTAGAAGGAGTTTTATGGTGTCCTCTTCTTGCAATTTGGCAAAGAAGTCCATGGCTAGTCCTCCATCCATATTAAAGTGTCATGTTGTTGACACTGGTACTTGTTGCTGAGCTAAAACTCTGTGTCATTGGCACCGATCAACTAAACAGAACCAAAAGCTTCATGCCATTGGCACCGGGGTGCTTCAAAATCTTTCTCTTTTGCAGATTTTCAAGAGCAGTCTTGATATCCCTAAGAAGGTTCACTAGAGGTCTGCAAGATTGGGGATGAACCGTTCGTCCTTTATTGTGGCTAGACGTGATTGACACTTGGAGTATCCTTTTCCAACCAGGCGAGTAAGTATGTGGCATATCTCACCTTTTGTAGCTTGGCGATACACTAGGAGTACTACTCTTGCATTTTTTGCGAGCAAGTATGTGAAGTAGTCATCCTGCAATCTTTGGCATGAAACCACATCTTCTTTTAACTTGTCGAAGAAGTGCATGGGGTGTCCTAAATTTCAAGCTTTAGAGTAGAACAACCTCTTCTTGCAATTTAGAAAAGAATTGCATAGAACGTCCTTCTCATGACTTGACGAAAAAATACATGTAGCGCTCCATATTTCGAGCTATGGAGGAGAGCATCTCGTCCTTCAACCTTTATTAAAAGAAGCACATGACGCATTTTTTTCATGCGGCTGGATGAAAGAAAATATGGCATATTATCCTTTAAGCTTTAACGTGGAATAACTACTTCTTTTAACTTACCAAAGAAGCACATGTTGCATACAAAGAGCTAGCATCCTCTTTTTGCTATCATGAAAAGGAATTGGCTCTTTTTTTCCCATTTAAATGACTGAACTTAGAATGAAATCTAAGTTGCCTACGTCCCCAGCAAAGAGGATCAAGCCATTATGTAGTTAAAAAAAAGTTTAAGTTCTTTTTTTTGTATGCAGTTTATACTCATGCGGATAAGGAGTATAGCAACTTGAAAACTTTGCTCAAATTTGAAGAGCTTTACATCTTGGAGACTTGCTCAAATTTGAAGAGCTTGCAACTTGAAGTCTTTGCTCGAATTTGAAGAACTTAACATCTTGAAGACTTTGCTCGAAATTGAAGAGCTTTGTGACTTAAAGACTTTGCTCGAATTTTGAAGAGCTTTGCAAGTTGAAGATTTAGCTCAAATTTGGGGAGCTTTACAACTTGAAGATTTGGCTCGAATTTGAGGAATTTTGTGACATATAATTTAGGCCCATGTATCAAGGAGCATTACAACATGCAGTTGGCTCATGCGCCGAGGAGCATTGCGACTTGCAGTTTAGGCTCATGCGTCAAGGAGCATTGCGACTTGTAGTTTAGGCACATGTGTCAAGGAGCATAGTGACATGCATGGACTCTTCGATTTCAGTTTTGGAAGAATACTTGCCCCCATTCTCGGCATCGTCTACTTCTTTTTCGTTGTGAGTCTCAAATGACAACCTTTGATCTCCACGTGTAGCCATACTCAATTCCATATCGTGTGCACGGGTGGCCAACTCTTCAAAAGTTTGAGGCTTTATTCCTTGCAAGATGTAGCGAAGGCCCCAATGCATACCTTGGATGCACATTTCGATTCCAGATGTTTTGCTAAGACGGTTTTTGCAGTTGAGGCTTAAACTCCTCCAACGATTGACGAATTCGATAACTGGCTCCACCTCCCATTCGGGCATTTGTAAGTTCAATTATGCTCACAATGTGTCTCGTGCTATAGAAGCGGTTGAGGAATTTTCGCTCGAGTTGCTCCCAACTATCAATGGAACCAGGTTCAAGATCTGTGTACCAATCGAAAATATTTCCTTTGAGAGATCGAACAAACTGCTTGACAAGGTGATCATCATAAGTTCCAGCATCATTGCACGTCTCGACGAAGTGTGCAACATGTTGCTTGGGATTCCCTTTACCGTCAAATTGTTGAAGCTTAGGGGGTTGATATCCGCTTGGCATCTTCAAGTTATCAATCCTTTGTGTGTACGGCTTTGCGCATGTAAGGAAAGATTTAGGTGAAGGCTCAATTTTATCTTTGATGGCCTCTATGATGAAGTCCTTCAATTGCTCAACATGAATCTGTCCATCAGAAGAGACTTGGAGCTCTTTGGTCATTGTTGCTAGCTTTGCAGCGGACTCTCCTTTCTCATGAATATCTGGAAGCTTCATAGGTGCTTGGCTTGATTATTCCTCCGTCATACTCTCCACCTTATTCATCAACTTAGAAAGTTTATCATCTTGATATTTCATGTACTTTGTCAGCCTTCAACTGCTTTTGTCAAATTTGCAAGTTGTTCTTCTACGATAGAAACTTCAATTATCATCGTTTGCATGACCAACGCAGAGGACGAAGAATGGTATGGAACATCACTTGGATACAGAGCAGATTTTGGAGTGACATGAGGAGAGATTGGGGAAAATTTGTTGCTCAAGACGTCATCATCTTTTTGTATGAAGGGATTGTGAGACTGGCGGTGGCATTCTTTTGAAAGACTAAATCGTGCCAAAGTTCGTTCGACCACCTCAGTAATGTTGTTCCTTTCTTCTAGCATGTATGAAGATGATCTTACTTCTTTTGGAGAAGATGAACCAAAAACATGAGTTGTGGACGGCACTTCAAGCATTTGTTGTCTTAGCATCTCGGTTTTGCTTCTTTTGATTTGGCCAACAATCTCCATGGCAACTTCCAATCCACTTTTGGAGTCAGATCAAGAGTTGATTTTTATTGAGGTCATCTTGATGTTCTTGAACTTCGAAGAGAAGAGATGAGAGGTACAGATGGTCCCACTGCGCGTGCCAAAATTTGTAACGACTAAATTTTGTTCCTGTAAAATAATAACCAAGACAAGAAATATAGCTACAAATATTATATTCGATTTCAAGTGATGGGGTTACAATCTTTAAAATATCTCAAATCTAAAGAGATGTAGTCCTCTGATTCTCCTTCTCACGAACGATGGTTCAAGAGCTTGAGATTTTGATCTTGAACTTGATGAATCTCAGATTTGTGATGCGTCATGAACAATTTGAAGATCGTCACGAACCAGGATTTGTTGTTGAGTTATCGCGAACGGAAGATTTGAAGCCGCCCGCTTGTGACTTGAGTTCGCCTTTGGGATTTGACCACAGACGAAGATTGCAGATGTGGATGGAGACCTTGATGCTATTCTTCAGAGCTTCTTTAGCCTTTCTTGCTGCTTACTTGCTTATTCCTCTAGCCTTCTCCTTTAACCCCTTTATATGGGTATCGGATGGAGTAGGCTCCAAGAAAATCCTAGTAGGTCATTGGGCTTGAGGCTTATGGGCCGACCCATTTGATAGAAGACCAATTGACGGGCTAGCCTAATAATATGTTGGACTTTTATTTAAATCAATTTATTTTAAATTTAAATAATCAACCCGATTATACTAGCCCATAATATTATTTGGACTAATATGTATTTAATATATAATAAAATCCAAATTAACCGTGAATTTGAATTTAATAAAATTTTAATTGTCTAAAATGTCAACACACACACAGTGGAGCACCTTTATCCATAACCTTGTCATTGCTTTAGTTTCTTCCTACCTTAACTTACTACAGTAACCTTATAAAAGCATTTAATTTGTTTTGATTAAGCAAAATAGAATACATTAACTAATGAAGCAATCATATAAAACTTAAGTGAAAGGGAGATCAAAAGAACTTAAACGGCAGAAAGAAATAAGTGTTAATGATCATTTACTTCATAGCGTAAACGATTCGGGCACTAAAATTGGAAAAAGAAAAATCAAATTATATCGTTATTCCCTTTTAGTAACTGTTTACGAACGTTAACTGTTAGATTTATTTGTTTAGTAACTAAGAACTCGACAACCATAAATCTTAATGATATATTATTTGGCTTCGTTCACATAAGCTTCATTTATGTGATGCCTTAACAAATTGTCTTGTGGAATAAACAAAACCATCTGCTCTTTCGGTATCTCTTTTGATTATCCAGTAATTCTTTCTCAAAAAGAAAAAGTAGGAATCCTATCTTGACGCCCTAAACAATAGCAATAGCATAAATTTTAAGCTACGATTTTTTTCTCAAAAAGAAAAAGTAGGAATCCTATCTTGACGCCCCTAAACAATAGCAATAGCATAAATCCTAAGCTACGACGCGTGAAGGAATGGTTCGATGAATCATGGCCGGATCTTAATAGATTTTCCATCAGAAGACTACTATGACTACATCATCGTCGAGACGCCCTGATTTGAACATGCCAGATTGGTTGACAAACCCAAGAGCAAAGCCAGAGAGAGGGGGAAGCCAGAAATGATAGTTCATGAGGTTCTAGAAGATAATAAACAGAAGTGTGGGTACATACAAACCTGACAGATGAGATAAAAATTATTTTTTGTGATCAACCAACCCAACCCCAACACTGGCTCGGCTCGAGTTCAGATAACTGCTTACTTACTTGACTTGTCTCCTTTTTTCCAAGCAAAGAGGAAGTCATGTAAGCAAACGTAGTGGTCTCTATTAGAATAGGAAATAGTGTAACTCGATCAGTATAAGAATAAAGCGAGGAGGTTGGCAGGAAAGATATATGACTTTATTTCCCTTTTCGACTTCTTCCTATAAAGTGGAAGGGTAGGCCTTTGGCACCAAAAAAGTGAGGATCGAAATATAATTGTAACACTATTAGAAAAATGCCTAAAACCGTCCAGAAATACCGACCGAAATCGGTCGGAAATTTGAAAAAACGATCGATTTTCGACCGACTTTAATCGATCGAAAATATGTTGGTCGGTAAAAAATAGAGACCGAAGTTGATCGCAATTTCCGACCGATTTTCGGCCGGTAAATTAATTTTCACAAACGACCCAAAAAGAAAAAATTTGCCCAAAAAAACCAACCGGAGTAGGTCGGTATTTTTAATTATGCAATTAAAAAAATGTATTGTCTGAGACTCGAACCAAGGTCTGTACTTATACTATTCTACCACTAGACTATTGGTACATTTTGGTTTAAGACTTTCTTTTAATTTATTTGTACTCCTTAACGCGAAAACAACCGACTGATTTCGGTCGGTTTTATTAAAAATATAAAATTACCGACCGAAGTCGGTCGATTTTTTTAAAATGATTGACTGAAATAACTGACAGATTTTGGTTGATTTTTTGAATATTAGTTTTAATTTATTTTATATGAAAAACAGACCGATTTCGGTCAGTTTCTTAAAAAATAAATATTGTGGGATTCTAAAATAGTTTCCTGCATTTTTGTGCCAAAAAAACCGACTAATGTTGGTCAGTTTTATATATATATATATATATNAATTTCTAGTAGTGTAACCATGTCCGAACTTGAAAATACACGTAGGATATAATTAAAGGGAGAATGACACAGTTACCCATAAAAACAAAATTATTTACCCTTGTCTATCCATTTGTTTTTCTACCCATCAAACTAATTACATTTCCTACCCATACTAGTTTTTGTGGGGAAATTTTCTCTTTTTTTCTCCAATTCTTTTTTATTTCTATGATACTTTTCTTTTTTTCCTTTTTTTCCTTTTTTTCTTTCTTTTCTCCTTTTCTTTTTTCTCATTTTCTTCTTATTTTTTCCTTTTTTCCTTTTCTAATTTCATTTAACTTCTTTTTTTATATTCTTTTTCTATTTATAATCTAATTTTATTTACTGTTTTCACTATTTTTTATTATTCTTTTTTTTATACAAAGAAAAAATAATTGATAGTAAATATCAGTTCACCTTTTTTTTTTAAATATAACTAGTATAATATACCTTTTGTCTTTTTTCTCATTTTTTAAATCCAATTATTAAATAGAAATAATATCAGTTGTCACTTAATCTAATTCACTGAATATCACACTGACTGTTGTTGAGCACCATAAATTACATAATCATATTTTAAGAATCAACACGTGATTGTCATGCAAACCTTGATCTCCTTCCCTAGAAATATCAGTACACACTCTATCATTAGCAGTAACACATCCAATTATGGAGCAAAAAAATA